GGGTCACAAGACCAGTCAAGCAAAGCAAAGCAAGCTCAGGGTGGATCACAAAGTCACCACACAGTCCGAGCACAAGAGCAGGGCCAGAGGCCAGTTCACATGCAGGAGGACAGACATATATATAAAACTAGACAAGCAAGAGCAGGTATATATATATGTCACAGTACAAGTGAAGTCAAGAGGAGAGCAAGTGAGGCAAGATAGGCACAAGACCCAGCTGGGTGCAAAAGCGCTGATGGTCACAAGGCGCGAGTGCCTTGGTGAACACATCAGCAGTGTTGGCCTCAGAGGCCACGTACGCAAGTCGCAACTGACCACGCTGCTGCAGCTCACGAGCAAGGAAGTAGCGGAGAGCAATGTGCTTCGTTCTGTGCTCCAAGCGCTGCTCTCGACACAAGGCCAGCATGGCCTTGTTGTCTACGTACAGCACTGGAGGAGAACGAGGCGGCTCTCCAAGGTCAGTCAGCAGGTAGGTGAGCCAGCGAAGCTCCTGTGCAGCCATGGCCCCGGCGTAGATCTCAGCCTCACAACTGGAGCCGAGAACTGAAGACGAGCGAGTAGACCGCCACGAGACAGAGCCGGAACCAAGGCTGAAGGTGTAACCCTGTGACGACCGCTGCGTAGCCTGGTCGTCAGCCCAAGAAGCGTCCGCGTGGCCTGTAAGGACCACTGGACTCCGCCCTCCAAGCACTAGCCCCATGCCCGACGTACTGCACAGGTAGCGCAATACCCTCTTCGCTGCTACCATGTGCTCTGGTCGGTGTCTCCCAGGAGCAACATAGCGTGCAAGAATGCTAAGAGGGTATGCAAGGTCAGGTCGTGTGCAGGTCATCAGGTACATGAGGCAGCCAACAAGCTCTGCATACGGACCACTCGACTCTACGGACTCATCCGAAGGCAGAGCTGAGAGTGAGTGGCGAGTAGGCAGAGGAGTGGCCTGAAGCGAGGAGTACGTGAAGCCGAAGCGCTGAAGGACCTGCTGCACCATGTGTGACTGAGTCAAGGTAATGGTGCGGCGTGCTCTGTCCCGAGTGATCTGCAAGCCAAGGTAGCTGCGCAGTTCACCCAGGTCTGTGCACGTGTGTCCCTTTAGCAACTCGGACTTCACGTAGGCGAGTCCAGCAGTGTCCGCTGTGGCAAAGACAAAGTCGTCGACGTACACGAGGATGTAGAACGGCGGCAGGGAAGTGTCGGTGCGAAGAAACAGCGACGGGTCAGCAGTAGAAGGAGCAAACCCAAGAGCCGCAAGCGTAGTCCTCAGTGTGTCGTGCCACTCACGCGGTGCCTGGCGGAGACCGTAGACTGGCCGTCGGAGGCTCCACTGGGTGCCAGGAGGGAAAGTCCCAGTGAAGCCAGGCGGACGGCGCAGCCAGATCTCCTCGTGAAGGCTACCCTGCAGAAACGCAGTGCTGAAGTCGAGAGAGTGAAGCTCGTAGTCGCGCTGAGCGGCTATGTGCAGCTGCACCCGAAGAGTAGTCATCTTCGGGGTGGGAGAGAAGGTCTGAAAGTAGTCAACTCCCTGCCGCTGACTGAAGCCACGAGCAACGGACCGTGCCTTGAAGACAGGTGGAGAGCCCGGCGGCCGCTTCACCCTGAAGATCCACATGCCACTGACGATGTTCGCCCCAGGAGGGGGAACCGCGTCAACGTAGGTGCCTGTGGACTTCCAGGAAGCCATCTCTGCATCCATAGCTGCCTGCCACTGAGAGGAGTAGGGACCCTCTACGGCCTCCGCGTAAGAACGCGGAGTCGGGATGTCTAGTGCATCCGGGTCTCCCTCAGGGGCTAGCAGTACAGACGCGAGATGAGGTGAAGCAGCCGCTAGACACTGTAACTCCTCCTGCCTGTCCTCTAGGACGTGCGTGCCAAGAGCACACTCACCCCCGACGGACGGAGGACAGACAGACGCAGACTCAGCCACAAGACTAGCAGCGTAGTCGAGACGACAGCAAGCAGCAAAGTCGACGAGCTCAGCGACTAGAGCAGACGCAGCAGTGGACTCAAAAGAGGGGTCAGTGACGACAGTAGCAAGCAGACGCGTGACAGTAGGACTGGCAGCACGAAGAGAGTCCGACTCAGGGTCGGCAAGCGCAGGAAGAGAGGACTCAGGAGGAGAAGGCAAAGGGGCACGCAGAGGAGCAGTGGACGGACGCAAAGACATCCGGTGCGTGCCAGGGACAGGAGGAGGACGCTGACGCGAACTGCGACCACTAGCGCGAGCAGCACGAACAGGCGACGCGGGACGAGACGCAGGCTCACGACGCTCAGCAAGACCTCCAGTAGGACCAGTGTAAGGAGAGGGAGCAGGCAGTGGAGAGGAAGGCTCCAGCAGGGACTGCGACTGGATAGGCGGTGGACCCTCTACTGGAGGAGAAAGACCAAGAACCTGCTGCAGGAGCGGAACGAAGTACGGCCGAGGCCGCGCGGCAGCTCCAGATTCAGCAGGGACAGCACCAGCACCCTCAGCGACAGCATCAGCGCCACCCACACCTCCAGCGGCAGGACCAACAGTAGTAGGCTCAGCACGAACGCCCTCAGCAGCTCCAGCTCCAGGAGGACCCGCAGGTCCAGCAGCTCCGGGACCGGCAGCACCCGCACCCTCGACGGTCGAAGAAGCTCCAGCTCCAGCTCCAGCAGCACCTCCAGACTCAGCAGCACGCCTCCAACGGCGAGCGAACCACTCGCGCAGCTCCTGTGGAGAGAGGGGCTCCCGGCGAGACGCAGCAGCAGGAGAAACCCCAGGCTCAGCAGCTCCAGACGCAGCACCCCCAGGCTCAGCAGCTCCCGACCCAGCACCCCCAGACCCAGCACCTCCAGGCACAGCACCCCCCGGCTCAGCACCCCCAGGCTCCGCACCCTCCGCAGTAGCACCCCCAGGCCCAGCACCCCCAGCAGTAGCACCCCCAGGCTCAGCACCCCCGCGCACAGCACCCCCAGAGTCAGCACCCCCAGGCTCAGCACCCGCAGCAGCACCAGAGTCACCAGTAACCTCGACCGGGTCAACGGCGTCTACCTGGGACACACCTGAGGGGGCAGGAACCTCAGGGGGGAGGGGGTCTACCGGGGGGGGAACCGGCACAAGGAAGTCCGAGGGAGGGGGGAGGGAAGGAGTGCGGTAGGGGAAGAGACGGTAGAAGGGGACTGACTCGTCGAACGTGACGTCCTGGGAGGACAGAACACGACGAGAGGAGGGGTGGTAAAACTGCCACCCTGGGGCGTCAGTGGGGAAGCCAAGGAAGACACAGGGAGCAGCACGAGGGGACAGCTTGTCCGCAGACAAGTCGCGGACAAACGCCCGAGATCCCCAGACACGGAACACAGAAGCATCGCCAACCTTCCCCGTCCACAGCAAGGCTGGGGACATCGCAGGCCGAGAGACCCGGGGGTGAAGGTTGAGCTGATGCGCCGCGTACCTCACCGCAAACGGCCACAGAAAATGGGGGGCAGCCGCATGCATCATGGACGTACGAGCGACATCCATGACCATGCCAATGCGGCGCTCAGCAATCCCATTTTGCTGTGGTGAGTCCAGAGGCGTGAAGGTCTGGCGGATCCCCCGTGCACGAGAGTAGTCTCGCAGAAGGCGAGAAGAGAACTCTCCGCCTCTGTCCGAGTGCAGACGCAGAACAGGAAAGTCCGAGCCGAAGCTCTTCCTGAGCTGGAGACGAGCCTCGCGGATCCAGTCGATCAGCACCTCAGTGACCGCACCCTTGCTGCGCAAGGGGAGGACTGTGGTGTAACGCGAGTAGTCGTCAACCACCAACAGGAAGTAGCGCTCGTGACCCTGCCCACGGACGGGGGCTGGGCCCCACACATCCATGTGAAGCGTCTGCAGGGGAGCCTCTGTCGGGGGGAAGTGGGAGGAGTGAGGAGTAGCCCGGAGGCGACCCTCGACACAGGGGACACAGGAAGGTCCTGGCCCGGAGGGGAGAGGAGGGAGAGACTGGGGAAGACCAGAGACAAGGACACGGGAAGCCATGCTCCGAAGACGGGGCAAGGAGGGGTGGCCAAGACGGTGGTGCCATAGGAGAGTCTCGTGAGACAGGAGGCGACAAGAACAGGGGGCAGACTCAGGACCTGACCGGGACGCAGCAGCAAGCACCTGACCTGACGCAGCTTCCTGACCGGACGCAGGGACAGGAGGAGACGAAGTGGTCAGGGTGTAGAGACTCGACCCCGGCCGACGCGAGAAGGTGGACAGGTGCCGGCCTGTGCGTGCGTCCGTGCAGTGGGTCACCCGCTGACTCGCAGGAGTGAACTGGTGAACCCCCGCATCGTGCAGGGCTGCACCACTCACCAAGTTCGTAGAGAACGAGGGAAGGTACAGACCAGACAGGGTGCCCGAAGGGGCAGCCGGACACGGGAGGACAGTGGAGAAGTGAGACAGGACAGGACCCCCAGAGGGGTCAGCAAGGGAGACTGCAACCGGCCGGCCGAGCGGCGTAAGGGTAGTGCGGTCTCGAAAGAAGGAGCGAGAAGCCCCGGAGTCAAGTGTGAAAGTGAGGGAGGACGAGGACGACGCAGTACCTGAGAGCGCAGTCTCACCAGTACCTGAGAGCGCAGACGCACTGGCACCTAGAGCAGCAGCCTCACAAGCACCTAGCGCAGCAGTACCAATGCCCGGGTCGGGCTGGAAACACCGGTAACCCTCATTCTCCTCACTATAAGTCACAGCATACATAGCAGCAAGGATAGCATCAAAATCAAGATCAAAGATCGCTACACCAGCCCTAAGAAGCTCATCCCAGCGAGGGATCTCACTAGCCCCAAGGAACTGCTGACGCCAAGAGTCCGTCAGGCGGCCAAAGCAGCGCTGGGTGGCGTGGGCACCCCAACACTGCTCACCCGCGCGGTCGCCGGAACGAAGAACGTAGGTGCAGGGACTAGTACCCCCACCCCTCTGACACCCAGCGTACCACTCACGAAGCTGCTGAGGCGGAGGGATGTCCCGCGAGCGCTGCTGCTGCTGCCGCTGCGAGCGCTGGCCACCACCACCGCCGCTACGCTGCTGGGTACCACCCCGACCAGCTCCAAGGAAGTGCGGTGGCGGGGGGACCTGGCACAAGGAAGTGCGGTGGCGGGGGGAGGGAAGGAGTGCGGTAGGGGAAGAGGCGGTAGTAGGGGACTGACTCGTCGAATGTGACGTCCTGGGAGGACAGAACACGACGAGAGGAGGGGTGGTAGATCTGCCACCCTGGTGCGTCAGGGGGGAAGCCAAGGAAGACACAGGGAGCAGCACGAGGGGACAGCTTGTCCGCAGACAAGTCGCGGACAAACGCCCGAGATCCCCAGACACGGAACGCAAACGCATCGCCGACCTTCCCCGTCCACAGCAAAGCTGGGGAGGTCTCCGGCCGGGAGACCCTGGGGTGAAGGTTGATCTGATGCGCCGCGTACCGAACCGCAAACGGCCACAGAAAATGGGGGGCAGCCGCATGCATCATGGACGTACGAGCGACGTCCATGACCATGCCAATGCGGCGCTCAGCAATCCCATTCTGCTGTGGAGAGTCCGGAAGCGTAAAGGTCTGGCGGATGCCTTGCGCACGGGCAGTAGGCTCGCAGAAGGCCAGAGGAGAACTCTCCGCCTCGGTCAGAGTGCAGACGCAGAACAGGAAAGTCCGAGCCGAAGCTCTTCCTGAGCAGGAGACGAGCTGCGCGGATCCAGTTGATCAACACCTCAGTGACATCACCCTTGCTGCGCAAGGGGAAGACTGTGGTGTAACGCGAGTAGTCGTCAACCACCAGCAGAAAGTAGCGCTCGTGACCCTGTCCACGGACGCGGGCCAGGCCCCACACGTCCATGTGAAGCGTCTGCAGCGGGGCCTCTGTCGGGGGAAACTGAGAGGAGTGAGGGGCAGCCCGTAGCCACCCCTCGACACAGGGGACGCAGGAAGGACCAGGCCCCGGAGGAAGGGGAGGGAGGGACCGGGGAAGACCAGAGACCAGGACACGGGAAGCCATGCCTCAGAGACGAGGCAGAGAGGGGTTACCAATGCGGTGGTGCCACAGGAGAGTCTCGTGAGACAGGAGGTGACACGAGCAGGGGGCAGACTCAGGACCAGACCTGGACGCTGCAGCAAACACCTGACCCGACGCAGCTACCTAACCAGACGCAGGGACAGGATGAGACGCAATGGTCAGGGTGTAGAGGCTCGACCCCGGCCGATGCGAAAACGTGGCCAGGTGCCTGCCTGTGCGAGCGTCCGAGCAGTGGGTCACCCGCTGACTCGTAGGAGTAAACTGGTGAACCCCCGCATCCTGTAGGTCAGCACCACTCACCAAGATCGTAGAGAACGAGGAGAGGTAAAGACCAAACAGGGTGCCAGAGGGGGCAGCCGGACACGGGAGGACAGTGGAGAAGTGAGAAAGGACAGGACCCCCAGAGGGGTCTGCCAGGGAGACTGCAACCGGCCAACCAAGCGGCGTGAGTGTGGTGCGGTCTCGAAAGAAGGAGCGAGAAGCCCTTGAGTCAAGTGTGAAGGTGAGGGAGGCCAAAGGCGACGTGGTACCTGAGAGCGCAGACGCACTGGCACCTAGAGCAGCAGCCTCACCAGCATCTAGAGCAGCAGTCTCAATGCCCGGGTTGGGCGGGAAACACCGGTAACAGTCACCCTCATCACTAATAGTCACAGCATACATGGCAGCAAGGATAGCATCAAAGTCAAGATCAAAGATAGCTACACCTGCCCTAGACAGCTCTCCCCAGCGGGGGATCTCAGTAGCCTCCGGGAACTGCTGACGCCAAGCGTCCGTCAGGCGGCCAAAGCAGCGCTGGGTGGGGTGGGCATCCCCACACTGCTCACCCGCGCGGTCGCCGGTGCGAAGGACGTAGGTGCACGGACCAAAACCCCCACCACGCTGACGCTGCGCGTACCACTCACGGAGCTGCTGAGGGGGGGGGGATGTCCCGAGAACGCTGCTGCAGCTGCTGCTGCTGGCGCTGACCACCACCGGAGCCGCTCCGCTGCGAAGCGCCACCCCGTCCAGCTCCACCTCCTCCACCACCGCCTCCTCCACCTCCGCCACCACCGCCGCCTCCGCTCCCACCGCTACCCGCCTCCGCCGCCTCCGCCTCCACTGCTGCCACCGACACCTCCACCCCCGCCACCACTCCCACCGCCACCCCCACTCCCTACGCTGCCTCCACCGCCACCTCCACCACCCCCGCTAGCTCCACTCGCGCCCTTGCCCCCCTTGCCCTTGCCATAGCGGCGTCTCTCGCTAGGGGCAGACGCCGCACCGACCGACTCAAGACCAACGAGGTCGGCCGCAGCAACATAGGCGACACAGGGCAAAAGGGGGGAAGGGGAACACCCCTCAAAGATGGGGGTGCGAGGGTCACCACGAGAGGCTCCTACAGCGACTATGCTCTTCTCCGCTGCTAGGAGGGCCTTCTCTAGGAGGTGAACAGTGAGAGTGGTGGGGACAGACTGAGAGGAAGTGGTCCCTGACTACACGAAGGGAGTCAGGGAGGCGGGTGACTATGTAATAGAGAGTGATGTACATGGGGGGGGGAGTTCTTGGCGCAGAACTCAGCAGGAAGCGCACTGCGGTAGCGAGTGTCACTAGTGCGGAGGTGCGTAATGAGGTCAGCGACTTTGGGAAAGGCTGCAAGGTCAGGGAAGAGGTACGGTAGCATGAGGCGTTTCAGTGCAGCAGTGGCAGGGGAAGAGTAGCGCGCAACTACAGCGTCGTACAAGGTCTGAGCACTCTTGTACTGACTAAAGTGTGCGCGCTCAGTGGTAGGCAGGTGGCGACGCACAGCAAGACGTGCAGCAGCGTCGGCGCGTGGCCCACTGGGAGCGAATAGTGGCGTCAGCATCAGCAGCAGGGGCAGGAGAGGCGCCAGAGGTGAGGTCAAAGAGAGAGAGACCGTCTGCTCTATCGCACTGTAAGAACAGCTGCAGGTCGTCGGACCCAGACATCAAAGTCAATGGCTCGACCCTCAGCGTCAAAAGCGAGGACACTAGGGGTAGCCATGACAATAGTAGACCAGCAGTGCAAGCAATAGGGAAAGGGCAGTGCAGTGACAGAGGTGCTGTGCTCACCGGACATGGGCTGCTCGGGGCGGCTCGGCGGTAGGGGCGGCTCGGCGGCTTGGCTGCTGGGCGGCTCGGGTGCACGGCGGCTCGGCTTCTCTGCTGTTGGGCGGCTCGGGTGTGCTGCTGCAGGGCGGCGCGGGCGGTCGGCGGGCTCGGCTGGGTGAGGCGGCTCGGGTGGCGGGCGGCGCTGCAGCAGGTGACGTGTCCGCAAGTAAGGGCGGCGGAGCCGTAGTGGAGGGCGGCGGGGCCGCAGGTGAGGGGTGGCGGGGCCGCAACTGAGGGCGACGGGGCCGCAAGAGAGGGTGGCAGGGCTGCAGCTGAGGGCGGCGGGAGCCGCAAGTGAGGGCGGACGGGGGCCGCAACTGAGGGCGGCGGGGCCGTAAGTGAAGGGCGGCGGGGCCGCAGGTGAGGGGTCGGCAACGGGCCGCAACTGACGGCGGCGACGGGGCCGCAACTGAGGGCGGCGACGGGGCCGCAACTGAGGGCGGCGGACGGGGTACGCCAACTGAGGGGGGCGGGGGCCGGCAACTGAGGGCGGCGGGGCCGCAGGTTGAGAGCGACGGTGGCCGCAACTGAGGGCGGCGACGGGGCCGCAAGTGAGGGCGGCGGGGCCGCAAGTGAGGGCGGCGACGGGCCGCTTAGGTGGCGATGGGCCGTGAAGGGCGGCGACGGGCCGCTTAGGGTGGCGATGGGCCGTGAAGGGCGGCGACGGGCTGAGTAAGGGCCGCGACGGGCCGAATAAGGGCGGCGCAAGGGAGGCCGCTAGGGGCGACGCGACGTGGCCGCTAGGGCGGCTCGACGAAGGTAGAGAGGGGGAGCGCGACTCGGGGAGCGCGCTCCGGGTAGGAAAAAAAAAAAAATCGATGTGGTGGCCCTAGGCACAGTTCCCACGAGGGAACCTGCTCGATACCATGAGAAAGTTGGAACGAGAATGGAATGACTAAGTGAAAGTTGGTACAAATACAACCCTAGAAAGCTGTACCCCATATGTGCTACCCCACTATAGCCTACAACAGCTATGTCATACAAATCTGACACTAGGCTCCTGTTGGTTCGCTCCGCTAGTTCCTGTTGCTCGTGAGCGTAGGAGAGGGAAATCATTTTTCTCGATCGCCCTTTCTCCACAGAGGGTTTTTGAACTCCTCTGTCTTTTACTCCAGTGCTCCGTCGGTCTGGAAGGCTTTCAGCTTCCTCCCCTCGCTCTGAGTTTCCGCCATGTTGAGCCATAGATAGAAACAGTGGTATTTGAGGTAGCGGTTGGTGACGTTCACGGCCCAGACGAAGCGCGTTCCAGCGTCGATGGAGGTAAGAGTGTACTGTTCTCCTCCGACTCCTTTTGACGTGAGAACTAGGAAATTGCTGTAGACTTTGTCGAGCGGTTTGTATCGCTTGACTCCAGTATCTTTTTGGCAAAGGGCGGTGTGACTCAACGCGGCTGTCGGGCAGACGGTGCAGTTGGGTAAGCCAAGTCCTTGGTTTCAGCAGCTTTCTGTCCGACAGCAACAGTGCGTTTGCCGCAAAGACTTTTGCGTTGATGCAGTTGTTGAACACTTCAATCGATGGGTGCCGGAATCGTTGTCGGGGTCGGGCGCGGTAACCTCTCATGCCTACGTAGAGCTCCTTTTCTCACGCTAAGATTCTTTCTGCGGTTCCTTTTCCCACTTGTTCCGCAGGTTCTTCACGTACATTGATGTGGACTGCCGATGCCTGAAGTGTCGCTCCATGATATGCTCCGCTTGTGTCGCCGTTGGTGGATGTGTCGATCGTCACGGGGAGTTCCGGTGGCCCTTGAAGAGGTGTCGGTGTCGCTCTTGGACGCGAATCCTCCGACTGTGTAACTTCTCCTTCCTCGAAATTGGTGTCGCCAATCGCATCTCCCTTGTCTCGACACGAAGATAGTCCCTGCCATCTGTTGTGATTGGGATAAGGTGAGGCCCATATTCTTCCTCTTCTGCTTCTGGTGCTTCCTCAGTAACCTTTGATTCTTCTTCTTCTGTAGGTCCTTCGGCGATGTTTCCCCATCCAGTTTTGGCTGCGGCGGCTTCGCCCAGCTCGGTGTTGTCCTTGACCCAGTGGACGTCACGAGCAATCTGGCCCTGCGTTCCCCAACCTTCAGTCGTGTTCCAGCCGGTAGATTGCTCGTGCACGTCCTCAAATTTCCGTGTTTGTTGTTTCCACAGTGATATCTTCTCCTTCTTTCTTTGCCTTGGCGAGGCTTGCGAGTTTGGGGTTAAGTGATGGTCCATGTCGTGATCATTCTCACAGTCGTAACTTCGTCGTTGTATGTGATACGTGCAATCGAATCTTGAATCCACTGCGGTGCTTGCCATTCGTACTGCATCCGGCCAGCCGTCAGCTCATCGTATGTCGGGTCGTTCTCCTCTTCTTCTTCGACCGAACATTTGGGTCTCTCTGGAGGTGGGTCTGCGAACATATTCTTCCCAGCTGCGGAAGAGGCGGTAGTGACGATCTGGTTGTGTGGTCCGTGCCACACCATGCAGGTTAACACCTTGCTCTTTCCCTTGTCGCTTGTGTTTGCAAGGATGTGTTTCAGAGCTTGAGAGGTGCTGGTGACGGCCGGTGGTGATACTGTCTGATTGCGCGCAGGAGCTCCTGCGGCTTGCTGGTGAGCTGCTCCACCTTTTTGGCCATGATTGTTGTTGCTGCCGTTTAGCTTCTAGCATTCTTGAATTGTGTGTCCTGTCTTCTTGCAGTAGCTGTAGAAGAGTCTTTCCTTGTCCGGTGGCGCTTGTGCGTTTGGTGTAAAACGCTATCTTCTCCTTTTTGTTGCCTCTCTCATTGTACAGGTCAATCTCTTGTTGTTCAGCATAAAGCGAGGCGCAAAGGGAGGTTTCGCTAAGTGTTCCTTGGGTGCGAAGGAGCGACTTGCAGTGGCGCCATTCCGGGCTTAAACCAGCGAGGATGACGGTGACGAACATGTCGTCAGGGAAGTTGCCGTCGCTTGTCCTGAATTGATCTCTCATGTTTCTGCAGCGGTTGATGTATGGCCCGGCCTTCTCGCCGGGGGAACATCTTTACGTTGTTCAGCTGTTTCAGACTCTTTACGTTGTTCAGCTGGTTGAGAAGGTGAATAAGTGTCACCGAATCGTTCTTGAAGGGGTGAATGCTTATTTGTTCTTCGGGCGACAGGTTCCGCATCAACTCCGTGAAGGCCAACAGCGACTCGTTATAGTATTGCGTCTTCTCTTGAGGTGAGCCGTTTGCCGGGAAATGCGTAGGATCCGTCGTAGTACATCCAAATCAGTGCGCCTTGAGCCAAGAGTTCAAATTCGAAACTCGAGGTGTAGAAGTCCTTCCGTCGAAGGGCTTGGTAGTCCTGAGCTTTGATATTGAGAGCAATTTGCTCTGCATTGACGCCACTGCCTCGTAATGCGTCTGCTGTTGTGCAGATCCTTGAGCTCCGCCATTGTCGAATGTAAAGGATCGCTGAGACTGTGCTTTCTGAGGATCGGGAGGTCTTCGAGCGTAGCTAGAACCGTCAATGCTCATTGGCTGATGGCTCTCCAGAGTGCTGATGCGGGAAATGAGCTGCTCGAGGAGCGTTGAATTCACAGTCGTCATTGTAGAGGCGATATTGGTGGAGGGAAGTACTGAAATTTTCTTTAGTGTCACCGCAATCTGCGCGTGGCATAATGCTTGCCCTTGTTGTAAGAGTAACTTATAATAAAAATGTTGTCTTGACTGAAGACTTAGCAGTTCCTATAATCCAAACTGGCTCTCATACCATGCTACAGTGAGGATATTGGGTAGGATAGGATTGCCTTAGAGAGATTGGTAGTGAAGATTTGTGGTAGGACCTTGTGCATAGTGAATGTAAATGACAAGATTGATTATATCATAAAATTACACATAATAAATAGATCTACTAGCCATGTACTCTTAGGGGTACATTCCCTTATTTTAACTCTTTTACAGGCAGCTCTACAGTTACTCTGACTATGCTCTTCTTCTTTGTTATCGAGTCGATGCGTGCAACCGTATGGACGGTTACGCCTGTTGCCATTCCTCGTTTGTGAGTCATTCGGTCCAGATGGTCAACAGTCGTGACAGTTGACCTTTTGCGTCTGCTAACTTTCCTGCCCTTGTTACGGGTTGATCCGATACTGCT